TGTTTAGTGTTCTTGATAGAATGGTGAGCTAAAATTGAAAAAACACGGTGTAAACAGTGGTGTGGTGAACATGAATAACTATTATTGAAGCGCGTTTAAATGTTATAATTTTTAATGTTTATTATAATTGTTAGCATAACATGAACATTTCACTTGGGAATATTTTCTACCTATCTCACATTGCTTTTGCTGAATATAAACAAAATTAAACATGTAGATTTGATACGAATACAACTCAAAATATGATTTTTATTTGTTAAAATATACTCATCCACGAGAAATTTGTATGCTGTGCATCATATACAGGGTGTCCCGTAAGCTCATGATCAAAAGGGTACTGCGATATTCTTTGCACCAAAAGAAGACGATCTGACCTAACTTTTATCAACAAAAAATGGCTGGCTCCTCTGCTATTGATGGTCAGTTAATGTCTAACATTGTTACGTGGCAAAGAAACAGAAATATTTTTTCCGCAAAAACTATGAATGTTTCAAGATTTTACAAAGAACACAAAATTGTGAATACATGATTAGTGCATCAACCTAAAAAAAATGAGTTGATTTCACAGTCAGTTGACCATCAATAGCAGAAGAACCAGACATTTTTTGTTAAGAAAAGTTAGGTCCGATCGTCTTCTTTTGGTCCAAAGAATATCGCAGTACCATTTTGATCATGAGCTTACGTACGACCCTGTAGAATAATCAAATTTATGCCCAATTTTCCCCATAATTTGTTGTTGGCGCTGCCCAGAAGTTCATTAATCGATAAAAGTAATTACCGCGGAGATTAAACATCGTGATGATGGCTTTGTGAGTTTTTTGCCCATTTGGCTTCACGAATTTTACATTTTCATATACAGATGAGATTCAAACTTAATATCGTGCATCTGAGTATTAGATGTAAGGATGGAATAGTAGAAACAAATGTCGAAAGATTTATTATTATGGGCTTTCCTTCAAAAGTTTAACAGTTACAGTTTTACATTAAAGGTAATTTATATGCGTGATTTTTTGAATAGTTGAATGATTGCGGTTAGCTGAAATTTAGAACACATTATCAAATAATACTGTAAACATTTCTGGCCAATTGTATGAGTTTGCTGCGCAATGTCCTTGCATCTAGTAATGCATCTGTTACAGCAAAAATACCTCCTAACCGAATGGTGCTACAGAAAAATGGTATCAATTTTTAACAGTTCATATAAAACATTCAGAAATAAATTTGATTTTGAACAGGTGCAAATAAAGAGCAGAAAATTATAAGTTCGATTGCAATGAATCAAGAGAATCACCAAGCTAAAATAGTGTGTAAATGTTATTGCAGAAAACAGCGCATCAGCATCCTTTTTAGATCCTTTAATTCATATTCCGTTGTCTGCCGAGTTTCAAACGAAAACTAGTAAAATATATTATCAGAAAATGTGGTAAAAATAAAGTAAAACGTGTCAAATGCCTGTTTATAACACAAGTATGAAAAACCGCAGTTACCAATTCTGGAACTGGTCGGGAAATTTGCGGAATATGTGGATATTGCAAGAATATTTCATTTGCAATTTATTTGTGATCATTTTACTACTGTACTGAATTATATAATCTTACAGCAATTACAGGGTCCTAATTTTCAAGTCACAAATACGGCCTTTTGAATTTCCTTTGGAGATGTTGATTGTCACCACTTTAGAATATTTGTTGCTTATCGTAGTTTTAATGTAATCATTTCAGCCATTCCTTAACTGTATTACTCAAATTACCTTACCAATCTTCACTAATTCTCAATTTTTAAATTTTGCGAGGAAACTGGAAACATTCCTAAAACGGTGATTCGTATAAAAAAGGGTGCTCCTTGTTTATGCGAGTAGTTTTCAGCTCGCATAAATTTTAAATTGTTGCATTTTGCAAAAAAATCAACAGATTCCTAAAACGATTTCTGTCATGAAAAAGTGAGCCTTCCGCGATTACATTTCGCAAATTTGTGTGATAACTGAAAATATTGCGAAAATGTGAAGCTAAATAAGAATTGCTATTTTTCATTTCTATTTAATTTGTAAGTTGTATACAAGAAATTCATAAGTATACTAAAAAGGCGAATATGTCGGTTTTTGAACTTTTTATATTTTATTTATGTCTATTATAAAAGAGCGCTCAATCTTGATTAGCTCCAGTTCAATTAATTAAATAGGGCCAGAACTATGTACATACACAGATATTTGTTATTGTAGATAAGATTATTTCTTTGGAAAATGGAACGATCCAAAATTGTTTGAAGTGATACATTTTGAATGATATTATCAATTATGAAATTTCATATCTTTCTCACAAAGCAAACGATAAGGGTCTGTTGAAATAAAATTACATTAAACAAGAAGATTTCGATATAAATTTATTTGGAATAAAATGAATCCTTGCAGGATTGAGCCCTCGAGGGAAAAGCGCACATTAGTCCTGTTGCAACGTGCATAACTGCGAAAGTACATAAATGCGTGTTAAGAAATCCTGCACGTGATTGATTGAGTCAAAACGTGAAAACAATAGGCGAATTGTACTGTGAGCATGTAGAAAACTTCCAAAACCTTGGAGCAATGTTAACAGCGGATAACAGCCTACCTGAGGAAATTGAACATGGTATTATACAAGGAAATATTATCTACTACTTAGTCTTACGATCATTCTTCAAGTCTAAAGCACCTCTCTAGAACCTCAAAAATCATCTTATATGAGACATTCGTGAGACCTATTGAATCATATGCATGTGTTAAAGACGGACCATGACCGTGAATGATACTGAAATTATAAAGCCTTTTGAGCTTCAAAAATTTAGAAAAGTCCACGGTAAATTTCCAAAAAACTTAAAATATTAGATCAAAATCCGATTACAAGTCGGATGTTGAAAGTAATTAAAGTAATCACATCGTTTTCAACTCGTTACTCCCAGTCTTCTCGAGTAACGAACAGTTACTGTTTCAACACCCCCAATTTCCTCAAAAACAATTTTCTGCCGCATCGATTTTCGACATTGATAGGTTTGAGCTTTTACTTTCCCATTGGAGAATTGCGTCTCCCCAGATCCATCTCCAAATTGTAACTATTTAAAAGCATATTATTGAGAAAAATTACCTAAATAGCGCCATTCTGTTTGATTACTAGTTTTCATTGATTTCTCATTTTTTTATAAGTTTTATTTTATGATTGACTGTTATTGAATAAGTGCAAATATATCCTCTGTAGAGTTATATAGGAGGTTTGGTTTGTTTGGATTGCAGGCACACACAGTAGCTTGCTGTGAGCTGTAAATGCCTTGGAGGTCTCAAAGTCAAACGAAACTGGATGGTCCTTTGTGACGCAGCATGTTCCAACCACTCCTTTATGAAAGTAAGTACATATCCAACTTGCCTTTATATGCAATATCGAAAATAGTCTAATGGCCAAAACTGTTTGCCAGCAAATATAAACCAGGCGACAGACGATTTAAAATCCGACACATTCAGAATAGAATATTCGTTAAATCTTGAAACGAGTTTACTTATATATTATGCGAATAGTCCTCCTATGTTGGCAGGTATAGAAGCGTTTTTCCATACTAAAAATATCTGAATTTATTTGCTTATTTTTCGCATTTTACATTTTCTTTGAAATATTGCTTTATTATTCGATGTTATGTGCACTATTATGCCATTTAAACTGGAAACCGCATTAGCGTCCAACGTGTTTGAATTTATTTTATTTTGAAATTCAGTGGTGTTATAAACGTGTTCCGGATTACTACTGGTTTCAACCAGGAAATTTTTCATAACCAAATATTTTTCCTATACTGACTAGATACAGCTAATTTGCAGCGCTGCTACTTATCAAAAGCTGGTGAATATTTTGCTAGAAGTTAAAATGATAAAATAATACTTGAGAACATGAGAACATTATTAGGAACTGATAATCGCAGAAACTGTTCTACTTCAACTAAGTGATTACTTAGCCGTTACCCGTTACAAATGTTTATACCTATTATCTATAACTTTATATGCAGGATAACGTGCCATAACCGAAGGTTGACAGATTTGCAATACAAGATCTTTAATGTTAAGATCGGATTTATATTATTATTATCATGAAAATTTATAGATTGGAAACTTAACATTTGCCGATAAGGATAAAAACTTATTTTCTATTAATTTCCAAGTGAGACCCAGTAAGCTATTAAAAGGAATGACACCAATATTGAATTGTCTATTATGTTATCCGATCGATTTAGTATCTTTTCAATTTGTGAAAATAATCCATGGGACGAAGACGATGCAAATACTAAAAGGAATTATAACTCATTTTTCATTTTCAATAGAACAGGTTCCGATAATACACATAAAATACGTTAAACTGATTGAAAGTTATTGTTCGAGTGTTTATCGTTTATTTTTTCAATTAATTGTTCGCGAACGAAGACATTTGATTCACGTTATGTTGATGCAGTTACTTTTTCATTAGCTATAAAATATCGTGACATTTTAATTTAATCGCCCGATTTSTAGACAATTGAAAACTGTTATTAAAATCTTATTAGAAAAAACGCGATGCCTGAAATAAGTTGTAGTAATCGTTTGATAACCGTTCAAAAAACACCCTAGTTCTAATTGCATGTTMATGAGCCAATCTTTATAATTATAAKTTATTGCCATAAATTAGTAATTTTATTGTGTCAAATTCGATCCTTTAATTTAACATTTAAAATTATATTGAACCGCGTCGCGCGTACTAATTAAAATGACTGAATTAGGCTAAGATTTTTAAAATAGCAAAAAAGCTAATTAGTGAAAAATGTTTTAAAATACACCCGTTTTTTAAAACTCCCTGGAGTGTTCCACAATATATATGTGATTTTTAATATTATCAGAAAGAATGTTTCATATAAAAGTGAAAAGAAGCAATAGAAAGGAAAATCTTCCCCCAATTATCTGTTTGAACGCGTGCGCTCAGTTGGGAAAATACGGGAAAAGCGCTCAACTTGCGGGAAAATATTCAGTATTTTGTGTGGTGTTGTAAGAGCAAACAGCAAAATCATCTACGAATACGTAGCACGTGTCAAACTCGTAAATTTGTATGTTTGAAGTTGGTCTGTGTTATTTGTTTTAACAAGAGAAAAAATCACGCGTTTTTAAGATTAGGTTACCTACCTTTCTAGTTAGTGTTTACACAATGTTTGTTAATTATATGCTTTGTTGTGCCAAGTTTTGGTGATTTGCAAACTTTGAAAGACGTGTGGAGAATTGGTTAGTAGATTTCCTATACCAAATCAGATACATTGCATGATTCAATTTTACTAATTTCGGGATAGTTAAAAAAAGACAGTTCATTTTGAATTAACTTCATTGAACTTGCATGCAAAATACAAATATTCAAATATTAAATGAACATGATAACGCTATGTTAAATGATAATTTATATGTATGTTTTACTGTTAATTGCCAATTTTTTATAACTTGCGGTTTTGAATAAATCGATGGTAGCATGATCCGATCAAAATTTTAATTAATTTCACTGAACTGAATGATTAAACACAATTCCGTAGATTTATTATGGGTATATATTGTTGCAGGTATGTATATATTCAGTCAATTCGGAACTTGTTTAGTCGGCAATAAAAATCAATTTGAATTAATTAAAAATAATTAACAACACATTTATAATCTTCTTAATTGCTGTAATTGTTATGTAGGAATTTGTTTATTATTTTGGCATCTCAACTGTGGATTTGTGCCCATGTTTATATCATATATATGTTTTTTAATAGTGTTTGTTTTGTATGTTTTTCTTTCAGGCAGATTTCTTCAAACAGCGGCTAGGATTTGTTTTAGATGAACTTGAACAGTGTATTTGTTTATTTGCGTTTTTTGTAATAGATGCTATAGATGCTTTCATGAACGTTTCATAATATCGGAAAATAAGTTTTCATTTTATTGCGCTGATTAAGCCCTTGCGGATATTTCTTCCAATTTTGCTGCACATCAAACTGGGGCAACAGTTCGAGAAAATACTTTAGTGTTAAAGTTAGCAGTTTTCTCTGCGAGAGATGGTAAAATCGTTGCAAACACTAGCAAATTTATTCCACTCCCAACTTTCCTGCTTTCTTTGCCAATTTTACAATGGAACATTTTACTGATTCATTTAGAAGATGTCAGCGTCAAATTGGAAAATTGGTCAGTTTTCTAATATGCTCTGCAAACTTAAAAAGTCAAAAAATGTCGACAATCCAAGAAGTTTACTTGTCTTGTGGAGACTCGAAAAAAATGCTAATCTTAACGGAAAATGCGCGGAATTTACTGTGTGTTATTGAATTATATATATTGAATGTATTGAATAACATAAAATTGACTCCACTGAGAAAGTAAAAGTTGCAACAGTCGAAGAAAGTGGAAGTGCTCGCAACTGAATTGTTGTCAATTACTTCTTTTATTTTTTTATGTACTTTTTACATATGCCCAGACAAAATATCCAGATGAACGACGCAATAAATAAAAGTCAAGCAGTTATTGAGCCAATTATTAAACTACCTTTGGACTTTCTGCACTCAGAACCCTGTTATTTCCTTTACTACTTGCTCATCTTCCTCCTTGTTCGTTTATCGCAATTTCGTTGCCTTTATGAATTTGAAATTATCAGTAATATTCATCAAGATTTGTTCCCTCCGAACTTTTAAGGCCTAACGCTGTCGTTATCATCTGTGAACGACATTAGTCCTTTGTATTAAATTTTCACTCTGTTTTATCGTTAGATCGTCAAAGCTCTTATAAGTATTGTAGATCCTGACAGCAAAATAATTTCGAGAAGTTGTCGAAGCCGGGTTTCGTTTGTGTTGTTTTAAGAGAATTATCATTCAAATTACTAGAAGCCTCCAAAAATTGAAGCCATTTATGGTCTTATAGGTAAATAAATATTTCACTCTTTAACGGCAACAAATGCTGCAAGTTTTAATGAGTTTTTGACCCTTGAAAGTATTGTGGCTGAAATTATTTCTGCCCCATTTCCTGTGCAGAGCTTTCGTTACTGGCTTGCAAAATAGTTTCAATCTAATCTGATAGAGATCTGAGATGCTTCTAGCATGTTGAGCCAAATTATAATTTTACGGTACCACACCGTTGAAGAAATTAATGATATCCTCTTCCTCGTCTACAAGTTCAACTTCTTCAGCTTTCGATCCCAGCAAACATCGAAAGCAATACATTCAGAGACCATAATTATTTTCTGTCTTTATCAGAATTGCCCGTTTAGATCTAGTACATTTTTAGCGAAATTGCAAGTTTTACACAGTCTTTCTTGGTTTAGCAGCTCAGGAAACTTTTTAACCGATATTTTGAACGGGCGTGACAGTCATCATCACCTTTCTAAAGTCTGTTGAAACGACATTCAAAATTCTCATTTTTCAGTTGCAATAACAAGAAACTGATATTTCTTGAGTGTTTCTTAGAATACATTTCTTCTTAAGAGGTGAAAAATATCAAATAAAGCAAAGCCGATTTAATAAAGCTAAAAATAATTAAGATTTACATAACACTTTCAAAAGATTAATTAATTATTATTTTTTCCGCATTTAACAGTTTTCCAGAAAGGTTATTGTTAATGGTAATATTAAAATATAACGTCAGACGTAAAAGGAAAATTTCGAGGAAATTTCATAGAAATCGGTAGGCAAAGCACCCATCAAAAAGTAAACGTATTTGTTTATTGCTTAATTGCTTGGATAACTGTTGTTATTTTAAACCATCGCTACTTCGTAAGGATAATGTTCGAATGACTCATAAATTTGCTCGGTTTTTTAACATTTAAACGCTTTACATTTTTCGTTAAATATAATATTTCTAGTGCAGCTGGTTTCAAATTCACTTGTTATGCTGAAAACGTTTTTGTCTTAGAAATGCCATTACGGATTCCATGCTAATTCCTTTAACTTGACTAGAATTAGAATGAAGTAATTTGTGGCATGAAAACACTACTCGAAAATTAAAGCAATGGACAGGTCATTGTATGGCGAATTAATTCGATTTTCTCTTATGTATAGGATTACATAAATTATTAATTAATTATAGTAGAATTTTTCTTCTACAGTTCTTTCTGCATAATTGTAAGCTAAAGCTGTTAATGAGCGAATAACCTGCAGCTGTCGACAACGTATTTTGATCCAAATATTTGTGGTAATTCGTTCCATTTGTAGAACCATGTAGAATTTGTTTTTCTTGTTTGCTGACATAATTATACATATAAACTAAAATGTTAAATGTTAAAACTAAGAATCCAAGTTGCGAACTAAATATTCTAGATTAATTCTAATCTCCATAAATACAGCTTAACAGTTTTTTCCTTGTATTGTTTTAAGTTATTGAGTTTTGAAAATAAGGAAGAGAGCTAAACAACATATTTTGTTGATTTGTACATTAAAAATGAATTGCTTTATTTAAAAAGTTGAGTATATCTGTAGCAGTATCATATAATGTAATAAAGAAAAAGTTTTCAGTAACTTGTCATTTTCGTTTCAGCTTTTAACCGTTAGATTTAAAGAAGTAGCTGAAGAAAAGCATTCAGTTTTCTTACGTACACAGAATATATTTGGAAGCAATTTTAATTGCCTTTCCGTATATTCAACGACAATTTGGGTTTTTCAACTTTAACTTTAACTCAAGTGCATTTAATATTAGCAGATAAATTATCTCTATTGAACGTGCGAAAATAAATCATTAGCTATTATTAATGTTAAATGCGACACTTAATGTTAGAAACTCATATTAATTTATTTGTCATGTTGAAAATTAGTTCTAATTGGCAAATTTATGACATTTACACAAATTCTAACAATTAGGCCTTCTGCTTGGCTAAATTAGAAATTTTGTGGGACCATTTGATCATCCATTAAATTGAAATAAAAACGAATTTTATTGATATATAATTCAAGGGAGTTTATTTTATGCTTTATCTCATAAAGTTTAATTTTACTTTTATCTACAGTGATGATAGTTATGAGAATCAGCATAATAATTATTTAGCATCCCTAATAAATTTAACAGAAAGTCTCTGGATATCGTTACTTACAAAACGTATTTGTTAAAATATGAACTAAAATATGAACATGAACCTCTGGTACGGTAAAATACTCGTTGGAAAAGTTGGCCACCCTGATGAATACTGAGTTTGTTACCGACATTGTCGTGTGAATCGCGTTCTTAGATGGGAAATATGTGAGATGGTTTGTGAAAGTGTAGTGAACTTTTTTATGATTTATGGGCAGAAAATGGACGAAGGGGCGCCAGCTTGCATAAAGCTGGTAAGAATGGTTTCTGATCTATGAGTCTTTTAGCTTGAACTTCTTCATATTGATTCTCTCTCTTTGCTTTGATGATTCCAAATAAGTTTGGCTTTGGACAGATATCCTGCTGTACTAAATACATTTGCTTATTTTGGGAATATTTTGGGCGGCTTGGAGTTTTACATCAAGCTCATTTGAAGCTTATCTGCAAAGAACCGTTTCAGATATGCAAATATGGGTCCCACTTTTATGTTTTTTTTTGTCGAAAATGTTGAGAATTTTAGTTTTGTCCGTTTTTTTTAATGGCACAGTAGACTGAAGCGTGATGACGCTTTTTCAACGTTACCCAAGAATCATTTGAGCCACAGAGTTAGTTTTTATATAATTGGATAGAGAATTGGTAACTCGATTCAACTATATCAACGTGAGTGAGTAAATTATGTCGGATTTGTCACAAAAAGTCACACGAAATTTGACTATCAGACATTTAGGTGCAAGTTTACGCCAAAATTTTAGGTGCGCCATGTCTTGGAGCACTAACACATTTCGTCATCAGTGCGCCAACTTCTGAAAATTAACTGAGTTATCCATGCTTAGCCTCTACTACAGTTGTTGCTTAAGGCTTGTTCTCATATTTAATAGTATAAACTTAAAATCAAATAAAATGTCGAGCTTAATACAGCTTTGTTTGTCACAGACGGTTCAATAGTTTGGAGTTCAAGCGAATACATTACAAATGTATGCGACAAGTACCTAATATTTGAAATTTCTTTAAATTTTAAATTGGTGGGAAGCATAGTCTTTAAGCATCTTTCGTTTAACTCCAAGCTACCGGATCGCGCGTTTCGGTTCTCTTATGTTATAACCGTCATCAGGTATCAGTCCTAATACTACGACGCTGGATTTGTAGTTACAAATGCCAAACATCAATCATATAATTTCGGTCAACACAACACATTAAAAATTATTGTAGAA